AGCTTCACTGGGCTTCGTCCAGCTGACGTCGGCCTGACGGCTGGTTGGAGCAGAACAAAGGCCTTGGACTCTGCTGTCTCTGCAGGATCAGTTCAGGTTTTCTGTGGGTTCAGGATGAAGCTGCTGATCTGTTTCAGTTTCACCACAAACACTTAACACAAAAAACTCCTCATTGATCCGAGACGTGACCTGATCCAACAGAACCAGACTTCATTCAAAATATGAACAATTTAACATTTAGTTCTCAGTTTTCTTAAATGTCAAACGCTGTTTGGGAAACACAAACTCCTCCTGTCTACCCAGACGTCTGTAGTATGAAACGTCATTTAAAACATTCCCAGAGTCAGACCTTTGATTTCATTCTTGTGAAGTGTTCCAGACTTCCATCAGACCAGACTCCATTCAGAATATGTCAGATTTAGACTTCATTCTGTTTGTGTGTGGCTGTAGGATATCTGCAGGACCAGACTTCATTCATATCATTCCATGTTTTGGACGTTTCCCTCACGTGGATCCGTGACCTCCTGCTGATGTCTTGTTGTCTGTGCAGGTCGGTGAGCCTGAACGGGGAGCTGCTGCAGATGGTGGACGACCAAACCCTTCCTGACCTCAGAGGAGCTCGTCTGCCTCCAGCTGATCACCTGCAGCTTCCTGGATACTCTCTGGCCTTCTTCGTGTTCACGGACGTCCAGGCGGCGGCGTGTCTCTGACGCCAACATGGCCGACGGCATCACTCCGGGTTCCTGCAGGCGCCGCAGAGAGAGCTGCTGATTGGACCAGAGCTCTGACACACTACAGGTGGATCCACTGATGTCTACGTCAGAGTTCAGGTGTTTTATTTTTAGAATATATTCATGTACACTCAGGTTGGAGCTGAACTACTGCTGTTTGAATACCGTCTCTGTACTGTTTTATACATTTATAAAGTTCTGTGACTGGCCAAGTAAAAACTACATAAATAGCATCCGTCAGCCAAAGACCTGCTCAAAACAGAATCCAGTACGGCTGAATCACAGACCTCCGTAACACTGGGGATATTTGAATGGAGTCTGGTACTGTGTAAGGACTGAACAAAATCAGTTCTAAAATCTGCAATATTCTGAATGAGGTCTGGTTCTGTAGACGTCTATGCAGCTGCACAGAAACTGAATGAAGTCAAAGCTAGTATTTGGAACATCTTGTTCTGTTAGAGTACATGTCTAAGGTCACTCAAGGGCTGAATACAATCAGGAGGAAACGTAGGAATATTAATATCAGGAAGTCTGGCACTGTGGACATTTGTACGGCCTCATAAGAACTGAATAAAATCCAGTCTGAAATCTGAAATGTTCTGAATGGAGTCTGGTATTAAGACCTACAGCCACACGAGGACTGAACAGAGACGAATCTGAAATTGTGGATGTTCTGGATGAGGTCTGGTCCTCTGGACGTCAGCGCAGATACATGCTAAACGTGGGATACTTTTAGATCAAGTCTGGTGCTTTAGATGTGTCTGCAAATAGAACTGAACAGAATCCGGTCCGTAATGAGGAATGTTCTGAAGGCAGTCCGGTGCTACAGGTGTCACACCAGGACTGAACTTCCATCTGAAGCTGGGACGGTTTAAACCAGTAACTCAGATCATCTGGTTGTCGCATGCTGTTGGTTTTTGGACAGTGTTTGTTTTTGCTGGTTCTGGTTCTGGAGAGCCTTGTGGATCATCTTCAGGAGGTCCTGGATGTTCTCTGTTCTTCTGCAGCTGAAGGTTTTCAGAACTTCTGTCTTCACGAGCTGCTGGACGTGTTTCTGTCGTCTCCATGCTCCGGTTCTGATCCGATGGACGGACAGGACAGAGGTTCTGCTGCGTGTTGCTGTGACAACCGGCCCAACAGACCAGCTTTGTGTTGGCTTCACAACAGCGCCGCCTGCTGGAGACCACGACCACAGCTCCAGGTTCTGTTCCAGTGGTTCCCATTTCAAAGGTTTATTTGGTCCAAACTACTTTTCACATATTCAGTATTTACAGCTCTGAGGGTTTATTTAGACTAAAACACTGTCTGTTGATTAACCGGCTGCTCAAAGAACTCGTTCCCACGCATCAGTAAATCGTGGCCACGAGTTATTACGACATAATTATCACACGGTGTTTCATCACAAGAGACGGCAGGATATCGGTGTCGTTCATTCCCAGGTTCAAATCAAATCAAATCAAATCAAATCAAAACGCTCCATGTTTCGTGCCAGTCCGCCCGTTGTCCTGAATCCACAGCTGGTGTGATGAACCGTGACATCTGCTCCACAGCTTCTCTTGTTTCTTCATGTTAGTGATGCGAGGCCACAATGTCGTTCCCACTCATTGATAACTGGTGGCCACCAGTTATTAATGAGTGGGAACGAGTTATTTTTATTTCTGGGCTCTGTAGGTTGAACAGAACCCTGCAGCGTTTCATGTTCTAATGCAGCACCTGTATAGAAACAGGACCGGACGGAGCGTTGAAGGATTGTTTTCTGTTGTGTGACCCAAATGCACCTCCTGCAGTAAACCTGGACCACTCCTCCTCCTCAGGATGAAGGTTTGTGGTCCAGGCCTCCATGTTCTGAATCATCTGCTTCAGCTGCTGCAGACGCATGACAGAGGTTTTAATCCGTTAAATGAGAAAAGTTCTGGATGTGATTCTGTTGTTTCTGGACGACTTTAAACCAGGAAAACAACAAACTGTGACTCTTACAGGTTTCTGATATTTACTGTTAATGAGGAATTAAATCTGGATTAAGAACAAGTCGGAACGTCACATTCAGGAAAAACTCTTCGATCCACAACAAAACGCTGAACAGAATCAGAACCAGGCTGAAATGATGTCAGTGGTCGTGGACTTTATTCACTTGTTTTCAGAAAGTTTTACTTTTGTGAGTCAATAAAGGAAGAAAAGCACAAAATAAGACTCAAAACGACAAAAGTCAGACACAGAAGAACAGAATCGACTCATCATGACAACATGATCTCTGGATGAAATATTCAACTTCTTTTAACATCTTTTTGTTCATGGATTCTAATATTTAAAATAAGAACAAGTTACTTTCAGATGAACACATAAAATTCTCCAAACAGTCGATCAGATCAGAGTCAGGCTGAATTTTCTCAGAATATTAATGATTTTATTCTCCTTAAACCTCCATAAACCACCACAGAGACCAAGCGCCGGACGCTCAGACGGTTTCCTACAGTCTGGTTCTTGTATCGTTGCTTTAAAGTGCAGCTTAAACATCATTTTCATCACTAACGCGTCTGCAGAGTTTATTTTCAGTTCATCACTAAATCTTCTATGAAGCATCAGAAAACTGGACGATTTGCAGCTTCTGACGGTTTAACAAAGACAAACCTGGAAACGTGAAGCGATGACTGGACTGTCACCAATCAACCTGCAGGTTGTTTTTTCTAACTGTGAATTATTTATCTATGAAACGTCAAAAGGATCTTGTTTTATTTGACATGAAATCTTCAGACTTTATCTGTTTGTGCTTCAGTGAACTGACTCTGATGAGCTGCAGGAAGCTGATGAAGGTTAAAACATCACAGAGACACAAAACAACCACAACAGACTGAGAAACACACAGTGTGACAGGAAACGGGTCCAGATGTGAGACGTTTGTCGACCCGGTGAGGACGGACAGCCTTTAGGTTTCTACAGTCAGACATGAATAAAGACTCGACCCTGATCCATTAAAGTCTCCGTCCTGTTAGTCTGCTGTTTGTCCACATGGTGGCGCTGCAGTCTGCCGCTGCAGGTAGTTTAGTTCTGAGCTGGTTCCTGCAGCAGTTTGTTCAGACTGCAGGTTTTCTGTTTCTGTGACAAACTGAACCAACGTCCAGAGAAATCGACGACTTAACGAGTTCATGGAGCGAAGACGAAGATCTACTGGTGGAGTCTGATCCTGAACACCACCTCCTGGACCAAAAATATCCACATCTGAGGAGCTGAAAGTTTACTTATTTAAATAAAAGATCATAAAATAAAATAACTGATTGACATGTCAGTGGATGGCAGAATGTGTCGTCATTATCTGGAAAGAAATAATCAGACAGCGAACACGTTGGAGGTAATAATGAAATAGATCAAAGCCTGTGAGACAAATCTGTTCTCAGATCTGCTGCTTAAAGTTTCTGCTGTTCAGAAGCTGAAAGAATGGAGTGATCCCTAAATGAACCAGAACCTAACGGTACCGCAGAACACAGAGAAGACCTCAGAGAGGCAGAACGTCTCCATCTGGGTCCCAGGCTCATAAAAAACACTCTGATAGAATCATAATTATTATTTATTGATTAAGCAGGAAAAGGCTCCTTATGATCCAGGACCGTCTGACAGCTGAACCGAGCCCACTGGACAGAACCGAACTGTTGAACCTGTTCTAATAAGAACACGTGGAGTTTGGCTGAATGTTGGTGTTTCAGTCTGATCATGTGGAGAAAACGTTCTTTATGAGGATCTTCTGGGCTGCTGACAGTTTTATAAACGTGTTCAGTGAACAGAGGAAAGAACAGAACCGGTCTGAAGACAAGCTGATGGTTCGGTTCGGTTCGGTCTGGTGGAGGTTCACTGACTGTGTGTCGTCATTATTAATCAGGTTCATCTGGTTTTATTCGCTGCTCTGGTCCAGAAAAGTAAACAGAACCGAGCTTCTGTCCATCAGTAAACCCAGTTACAGGTCCGGACTACAACAAAACCCAGTTCGTCAAGTTCAGTGTCTGTTGTGTTCACATCAGGACTACACACTGAAGCTACACACTAGGACCACAGGTTGAACTACACACTCCAGATCCGGACTACAGACCAGACTCCTCCAGGACTCCACTACCCAGCGGCCCCCGCGCTGAGCCATGTTGTAGGAAATCCGCTTGCGGCGGATTATTGTAATCCGACAGCGGTCTGGAGACACATCGGATCACGACAGAACGCGCGGAGCCAGCGGCCTGTAACAGATGCACGTCGTCCGAGAATAAAGGGATCAAGCCGGATATGATCTGCGGCGCCGCTCGCTGCTGCTGCTGAAGCCTCTCGTCGCGCCGCCCGGGCCGCTTCCTGGACCTCCTCCGACCCTCGGTGACAGCGGCTCGGCGTCAGGGCACGGCGGAGCGGAGCGGGGAGGCACAGCCCGGATCCTCGGAGTAGACCCCCTCCCTCCCTGCTGCCTTCCCCCGGCAGGCTGAGCTCAGCCCAGCGCGGCTCGGTGGCTCCGTCCGCGGACCGAAGCGCTGCCGCTCCGAGACGCTCCACTGCTAGCGCGGCTAGCTCGCCCCAGCTAGCTAGCTAGCGGGTCCGGAACCAGTCGACTTCAGCTCGGATTTTTGCTCATTTCGCGGCCCGCAGCGCGGACGGACGGACGGACGGACGGACGGAGGATGTCGGCCAAAGAGCAGAACAAACTCTCCACCGTCGATCGACCCATCAAAGGTACGTGGCGCCTCCGGCTCGGAGCTGCAGGAAGTCCGCGGCGGCTAACGGCGGCTAGCTGGGAGCGGGGCGGCGGGCTGCCGAGCCCCGCGCACAGCTAGCCCGCTCCGGCTGTTCGTGGCCGAGCGGCGGCCGGAGGATCAATCACGGAGCTGATCGATCCGGCTAATAGTTAGCCGTTAGCTTAGCTTAGCCCGGGCAGCCAGAGGTCCGCCGCTAGCAGCCCGGACAGCTGGCTCCTGTTCCGGACACTGAGTGCCCGTCGCCCCGCGGGGAGACGCGGAGATACTCGAGTAAAGTGGCTCAGGATTACTTAAACCCAGGCGTTACCTCGTCAGACCTCAGAACTCCCGGTTCTGTTGGGCTTCACGGGTTTCTCAGGTTGTTCCCTATCAGGTCCAGCAGCAGATCTGTGATCAGCCAGCTGCTGGGTTCTGGTTCCTCATCAGGCAGCAGCTGGACCGAAACCAACTTTATGTTCTGATCAGTAACATGTTGTTTAAATGCTCCTCTGGAGGATAGATGATCGAACCTCAGACAGAACCAACAGGCTGATTCTAGCTAAAGAAAACCTCATTAAAGACGAACCCAGTAGAACTCCAGACGAACCACCGGTCTGGTCACCATGAGAAGATCACTGACACCAGGACAGAGGGGTTCTGGGTTCTGGGTGTTCTGAAATATGTCTATAATTGTCCTCATGTGAATGAAGTGCTTGAACAGAACCATCAGATTCAGCCTCAGGGTTCTGGTTCCACATACAGTCTGAGGTTTTCTCTGTGAAGCAGAACATCGAGAAGAACATCCGGTTCCTCGAGTTTTTAGGAGTAAAATGTCGTGTGAATCCGATAAAGGAACAGAACCGTCAGTAGAAACCGTGTGGATCAGAGGTGACCCGTTCAGAGAACCATGTAGTGACAGGTGAAGCTGCTGCAGTGGGATCGGGTCCGTTCATCAGACCAGAACATGAAGCAGAACGCTGGAGGAGCTCAGAGCTGCTGCTCAGAACCACTGATTATGTTCCTGGTTAACGATCTTCATCTGAATCCAGTCAGAGGAGGAGGAACCGGTTCCATCTAGAATGAAGAGAACGCTGATGTTTGGTTCTGAACGGTCCAAAAGTCTTTAGGTTTCTGTTGTTTCGCAGTAAACTGGACTAAGAGCTCCTGTTAGGTTCTGTTCAGCTGCTCGTCTCCAACGCAGACGTTCTATCTGATTAACCACGATTTAGACGAATCATGTAAAAGTTTCCATCAGTAGTTAAACAGCTCCACATCCAGAACGACCCAGAACGACCCAGAACGACCCACAAAGATCCATAAAGCAGTACGCCACATAAATAATGAGAATCTGAGCAAATATCATGAACTATAAGTGCAGCACAGGTCCACTATAAAGTCTGTTTTCAGATCGTCTCCCTTTTTTTTCTTTTTTCTTTTTTTACATTAGAAATTACATCTGATAAAATCCCAGAAAAGAAATCAGCTGGAAAAAAATCAATCAATAAATAAATAAAATAAAATAAAAAATGGAGCAAACAAAAGAAAAAACTGAATAATTTCCACATTAAATTTTTTTTTAAAATGGAGCAAACAATGAAACAAACTGTCAATAATTTCAGCATAAAAAAACAATAAATCTGTTTTTTTACAGATAATGTTTTTGTTTTTCCAGCGTGTGACAATAAAATGACACGTTTTACTTTAATCTCATAATTATTCAGGTGTTTTATTTAATCTCATAATTATTCAGGTATTTTATTTAATCTCATAATTATTCAGGTGTTTTANTTTAATCTCATAATTATTCAGGTGTTTTATTTAATCTCATAATTATTCAGGTATTTTATTTAATCTCATAATTATTCAGGTGTTTTATTTAATCTCATAATTATTCAGGTATTTTATTTAATCTCATAATTATTCAGGTGTTTTATTTCATCTCGTACTCTTCAGGTGTTTCCAGGTGTTTGAGCGTCGTAGTTTTTCATCTTTACTTCGTTCACAGTGAATCAGAAAAATCTCTGAAATCAACAGCTGATGTGAAACATTTGGACTTCAGTGGGATAACGTGTGAGCGGTTCTGATCTGGTTCTAAACGCCTCCATCCAGCTGCTGCTGCAGAGAAGAACCTCTTGAATAAAAGCCTTGAATCAGCCGGAGTTCAGCCCAATAAGAGACTCTGATGTTTGTTCTGCTGCAGCGGCTCATCATGTTGATTAGTCTATTGATTAATATCTGGACCGATCGATCGGCCGTTTCAGTCCAAGATGTAATAAATGAGCCGTTCAGTTTACTGTCAAAATAATTATTCAGTGGAAAAGAACTGACAAGAGTTCAAGGAAGAAAAAAAAAACACTGAAAACTGTAAAAAATGTGAAAACAGCAGCAACTAGACTAAAATAATTTAAACAATCAGAAGGTTTTGTGGTCAAACATCGTAAAAGAACCAATCAGCGTTTAGAAAAATCCAGATTTTTGACGTGAACATTGTTTATTTAATTTACTTATTTATTTATTTTCTAAAGCCGGCGTGTAAATTAATATTTTTAACAGTTATTATCTGTAATTGAACAAAACGGTGAAAACCTGGAGAGAAAAGCATTTAGAATGTGATGAACGTGATAATTCTTCTTAACCAATAAGAGACGACACCAGCAACACATTTGATCATTTAAATCTTCTGGAATTTAAACTTTATTCACATTTTTATCCTTTTTTTACGGTTAACTTGTAAATCATGACTTTTTCTGTAATTTAACAAAACTGAGAAAATCATCGTTTTGTTAAATTAAAGATAATTAAAGCCAATTATTTCCGTCTTAATTCTACATGAATACGTCCAAACAATGAGACGGTTCCACATTTCCAGTATTTCACCGACACTGAAGCCTTTATTATATATATATATATATATATATATAAATCCTGATTAGAAGGTCTGACACGTGACACACAGTGAATAACGTCCAGACTGATGCATGTGACAAATATTTGTCTTTATTTATTTATTTAGCATTTTGCAGCTCTAATTTTGTAATACATTTATTTTTAATTATTATTATTGCTCTTTTAAGGATTTTTCCAGTTTTGTTATAATAAAGACAGCAAATAAAAAAATAACAGTAAATTGTCCAAAAATGTAAATTTAAACAGCTGGAATCAGAATTTAGAGTTTTTATTAGAAGATGATAGAAGATGTTATTAATAAGGTTGATGATTTGATGAATAACTGACAGATAATAGATTTATTATTGCAGCTTTAACCAGCTGTGGCTGCAGACACAACGTTTTATTTTATTTACCTTCTTATTCATTCATTCGGCCACAAACCCTTTAAATGTCAAACTACAGACCAGAAGCTGTAGTTTTAGTCCTGCTCTGTGCTTCTGGGCTCTTCTTAGTTAATAAATCAGATTTTTCTTCCGTACGTCTGTAGAGAACCGACGCTAACGTGATATAATCGTCTCCTTATTAGTGGATCACCGGCTGCTGTGAACGAGGAGAAGGTGTTTGATTAAGTAACTCAGGTCCGATGAAGCCTTCAGAAGGTGTCGACCCGTCGCTTTACAGCCACCGTGAGAGGACGTTAGAACCACTTCAGTGTCCTCACAGAGAAGTTCTGGCGGTTCTGCTGTAATGTTTGGTGCCGTGACAGAGAAGCAACGACTGTCTCAGGGAGGAGATGGAAGCAGAACGTTCAGCATCGTTCTCCTTCTTCATCGACTGACATGATGAATCTGCTGCTGGAGTGGATGGAGGAACGTGTCGGTGAGAACAGGAGAACCTCAGACCTGGTCAGAGACCTGGTTTCATCAGCAGTGAGCTTAGAACAAAACGGTTCTGTAGCTGGTGTTGGTTTAGAGCAGCAGGATGGACTCAGAGTGTCATCAACACTCATCACTGAAGGCAACCTAAAAACGGACAGATTCTCTATGGACCTCTGAACTGACTCCACTGGTGGAGCTCTGATGAGGAGTTTGTGTCGTAGTGTTGTGTCTCTTTGTGTCTCTTTGTGTCTCTTTGTGTCTCTTTGTGTCTCTGTGTGTCTCTTTGTGTCTCTTTGTGTCTCTTTGTGTCTCTTTGTGTCTCGTTGTGTCTCTTTGTGTCTCTTTGTGGTGGTGTTGGACACTGAATAGTCATTTGAGACCATTTTAAAGCAGAACAGGAGCCATGTACCATCAGCAGCGGTTCTTCACCTCAGACATGCTTCCATGTTCTCAGGCTTCATGAGGAACATGGAGAACGTTTAGTCGACGTGTTGGTTGGTTCACACTCTGGACTCTGGTGACAGTGGAGGGTGTGTTGGTGTGATGTTGGAGTGTGTCTGCGGCGGTAGCGTGTGATTGGCTATCGACGGTGGCCTGTGATTGGCTATCGGCGGCAGCCTGTGATTGGCTGTTGGCATTAGCGGGATTACGCTGCAGGAGAGTGTCAGTCATTAAAGCTGCCACTGTGATCGGATCGAGCCTTTTATTCTGGTCCTCTGATCAATGAGCTCAGTGAGCTGCTCTGGTTCTGACCCGTCGGTGGACACACGGTGTTGATCCATCAGGAGGTTAAAACCAGGATGAACTGAAGTGTGGAACTGCTGCACAGGTTTCAGTCCAGACAGACGTTACAGAACAGAACCAGGAACCAGGCATGGGTCCGCTGGGTTGGGTCTGTTTGTGGTCGTTGTGTGTCTGTGATCCGACTGCTACCAGAACATGAGCTTCCTGAACCACATCAACGTGTTGTTGGATCGGACAGAAGATCAGCAGCTGATCCAGTCAGAACATCGACCGGCTCATGGTGCTGGTCACTGGTCCATGGTGAACACTGTCACTGGTTCCAGCTGCTCCAGTGGGAGGTTCTGCTGGTTTCAACTGAAGTTAAACTGGTTCTTCTGGTTCTAGACTCACATGTGGGTCGGTTCCAGTCAGCTGGTGACCTCATGTTGGACTGTTAAAGCTGCAGATCACCACAGACCCACAACTCAGTGTGTGTGTGTGTGTGTGT